TTAAGCACCAGCTCCTGCTTCCCCCTCCCCCTTGCTGCCTCTGATACAGAGGCAGCAAGGGGGAAGGGGAGGAGCAACTAGTCGAGTAGTGACCGGACTACCCAATAAGCCTAGGTTTATCAGGTAGTTGACTAGTCACTTACATCCCTAGTGTGGGCCCTGATTTCAGGGGGGTGGGCAATGATGGAGGGTGGGGTTATGCCCCAGGATCCCAACCCCATTCTCTGGCTGCAGCGCCTGCGGGGGCCGGGTGAGCCACAGCCCACCCAGGAATATGCCCCTGAAACATAATACAGTAGAAGCTCAGAGTTATGAACTGACGGGTCAACCACACCCCTCACTTGGAATCAAAGTATGCAATCAAGAAGCAGCAGAGACCCCCAAAAAACCCCAACCCACTAGCAAATACAGTACTTGTTAAACATAACCTAAAGGGAAAGTCTAAAAAAGGATTCGACAAAGCGAGGAAACTGTTTCTTTGCTTCTTTCATTGAAGTGAAAATAATCAAGAGGAGCATTTTCTTCTGGATAGTAAAGGCTGAAAGCTGCATTAAGCCAATGTTCTACTGTAAGTGTCTGAAAGAGCCACAAATATTTTGTTCAAAGTTACGAAAATGTCCAAGGTACGAACAACCTCCATTCCCGAGGCATTCGTAACTCTGAGGATCTACAGTTTGTGAGAAACTGGGACCAAGAGATCTTGGATGAAGTTGCTTTGTGGCAGCTTCCACTGGTCGAACAGTGCAACTGCTTTACTCCTAGGCACAAATGCCTAGATCCGTGGTCCCCAACATTTGTACTCAAAGTTACGAAAATGTCCAAGGTACGAACAACCTCCATTCCCGAGGCATTCGTAACTCTGAGGATCTACAGTTTGTGAGAAACTGGGACCAAGAGATCTTGGATGAAGTTGCTTTGTGGCAGCTTCCACTGGTCGAACAGTGCAACTGCTTTACTCCTAGGCACAAATGCCTAGATCCGTGGTCCCCAACATTTGTACGCGCCGGGCACGCGGCGCATGGGGGGCCCCGCCCCCGCGGCTCTGGGGGGGGGCCCCGCCCCCGGGCGCGCAAGTGTCCCCGCCCCCTGGCGCCCGACGGGCGAACGGCCACGCCCCGTGGCGCCCGGCAACCTCAAATGGTTGGGGACCACTGGCCTAGATAGTGATTCTCAGCCTTTTTGGAATCACACACCATCTTAGCATTTTTTTTCTATAAGTTCCCCCCACACACATACACTTACACACACTCACATTTGGCCCAGCCATCCAGCCTAGCACAGTGACCTTCTTCACCAAGTGAACTTTAACACAGGAATTATTGTAGAAAACCAAATTAACAGAAACATAGGTAGGGATAAAATTACTCCTGAGATAAAATTCTGCATCCAGCAGTGAAAAAGATCAGACCCTTTCTAATGTTCATTTAAAAGTCGTGTTTGTATTGCTGTCAGCGTGGCAACCAATCAGCACAATTTGGAATACAGTTGGAGGAAGGTGTGAAAATGTTTGCCTGGTTTCGCTGATACATGGTCACTTCATCAGGGACTTTTCTTTTCAAGAACTTTTACCAAACATAAAACATTTGGCTTTTTTTTTTAAGTATTATTATTTCAGTGAAGGCAGTTTTGATCTGGAATTACAACATCTGCCTGAGCATTGATTCCAACCCAAACACTGCAACAGCAGGCTGGCGTGCGAGAATCAAGAAGTGAAACTTACAATAGATCCATATTCAAAGTGAAGTAAATCAGCAGCACACAACGTAAACAGCATCATGAAAAACTAGCAAGTAATTTTCAAAAATTACTGAGCACTTGCTAGGGATGTTAAACTGTGTTCATTTAGGTAAATGTGTTACCACTGAAAATATCATTGGTTGCATGTTTACACGGGCTGTGGAGTGGTAGGCCAGGCCACTCCCCAGGCACCAGTGTACGCAAGGAGCTGGTATTTAAGCGTGTAACTGGGCCCAGATTCATCGGTTAACCGTGTGCACGTTTACACTTTCACATCTCTGCTTGACTCTCCAAATAAAGTCAAAGGTAGGTACTCAGCCACTCTGAAAATCAAGGCCCCAAGTATTAAAATTCTAGCAGTTATAATCTCAGTTATTAATAACAGGAAAGGCATTTAAACATTTTTAATTGCAACCCGACACTGCCCCTCGTACAATACTGAAGTCTAAACTGCTTAATACTCTTATCACACACAATGAAAGTCTGTCTCGAACCGAAACAATCAATTAAAAGGGATGACGGTACAGGTTTTGTCTTTCCCTTCGCTGCCACAATACGGGACAAGAATGCAGTAAGCCTCCACGAGCCAATGTTGCTACTAGCTGCAGAGAGAAAAACGGGCTCATTTGTTCGCTTGTAACAAGTTGAAGTCCATAGTTGGCTAAGCTTTTTCACAGTTTGCCAGGGTCACCCCAGGCAGATCAAAAATTAATTGGTTGTCAGAAACTGAATGCAAATTAACTGTGCATCAGACAGTGCTTCAAAGCTGTGTTTAGCCCTAGCTAATGGATGCAGGCATGGGGCTAAAACCTCTAGTACATGAAGAACTCTACTGCGATTATTTTTTTGCACTGGGGCAGTGCCAAATGACCTCGGTGCTAGACCACATCCCCACCACTGTAGATACAGCACAAACACCACAAACAAAAAGCCAGTCTCTGCCTCAAAGAACTTACAATCTAAATACAGTAAAAGCTCGGTTACCCGGCTTGCTGGGAGGTGGTGGTACGTTAAAAATTCTCGTTAATGAAGAGGGAGGGAATTTGGCAGGGGATGGGCACGGGAGGGGCTTTGGGGTGCCAGATGTGGGGAGCGCTCACTTTGGGCAACACCCTGAAAACGGAAACATAGGAAGAGGTGTGGCTAGGCAGCTCTGAGCACTGCCTCCGCCCACAAGCACCGCCCCCACAGCTCCCATTGGCCGGGAGCTGCAAAGCCAGTAGGCGGGACAGGGTGGGGGCAGCACACGGAGCCCCTGGGGCTATTCCTCCACCAAGGAGCAGCAGGGACTTGTCCCCACTTCCTGGGAGCCACGTGGAGCCAGGTAGGGAGTTGGCCGGCTCCGCACCAACCAGACTTCCAATGAAGATCAGAAATGCAGATGTATAGAGCGTTCCAGCTGGTAAAGTGCCAGATAACGCAACTTTCACTAATAAAAGCATCGTACTAATACTGTACAAGGGATATTTCGACTTACTGCCACGGCACATGCAACACGCCCGATCAGGCCATGTCATCGGGACATGATCAGCTGGGGAGAGCTCGTTCTGGCGGCATAGTGGCTAGAATTTGAGAGCTTTGGGGTCTGAGCTAATCTGAGCCTGGTGCTGATCACTAATCAACACAGCGTTTACCCCCAGGCCCGCACAATCTGTAACAGAAGTAACAATCTGGCCACCTGTAGGGGTGTGTCTAAACTACATGGCTCCGTCGACGGAGCCATGTAGATTTGTTTGTTCGGCAAAGGGAAATGAAGCCGCGATTTAAATAATCGCGGCTTCATTTAAATTTAAATGGCTGCCCCGCTCTGTTTGTCAGCAGATCAGGGAAGTCTGGACGCTCCCCTGCCGACATGGAAGCCCTTTATCGACCTCCCCGGTAAACCTCATCCTATGAGGCATAACGGGGAGGTTGATAAAGGGCTTTCAGGTCAGCATGGGAGTGTCCAGACTAGCACGCTGAGCCGACAAACAGCTGATCAGCTGTTTGTCGGCTCAGCGCGGCAGCCGTTTAAATTTAAATGAAGCCGCGATTATTTAAATCGCGGCTTGATTTCCCTTTGCCAATCAGCCTAATCTACATGGCTCCACCGATGGAGCCATGCAATTTAGACACACCCTAGGAGACAGAAAGTGGTTTAGAAAAATAAAGGAGAGCACAGTAACCTTCTGGAAGGAAAGGCCCCCTCTCCATCAACAAGGCACCTTTGCCCTTAAAACTGCAGCTCAAGCAGCTAGGAGGAACAGCTAAAGCAGACTCTAGCAGCAAACACCACAAGAGAATGCAGAGCAAGGGTCCTGGTCCTCTCAGATGTTGGCTCCAAGGCTATAACTGAGATTTGAAAGGGGAGTGAAGGCCTTCAGCTCCCAGTGGATTGGTGCCTAATTCCCTTAGGCACCTTTGAAAATCCCAGCCTACTTGCCAAAATCAGCAACTGTTTCATGAGTGGAACCACCCTCGGAAATCAATTGCTCAATAGCCGCTCTGCAGAGCAGAGTTTGGAAAGTTTCCCCAATACTGGCTCCTCCCAGGACACAGCCCACTGTGCTGGGTCACACCCTGTGGTAACTCCTGTAACCAGGTGGATTTGATTTCCACAGACACAGTTTTCACACAGCAGGTCAGTCTCTTGCCTTGCATATCTGTACGGTGCCCCTCTATTGCAACTGCCTGCTTCCTGGCCTGGCCAGGCAGGAGGCATTTCGCTTCCCAGCCCCGCTCTTAACCTGTCCCTCTGCTCCTTGCTCCTGCTCCCTTCTTCTCAAAAAGGCAGTGCCTCAGAGGCCACCCAGATCCTCACACAGGGTTGCCAGGTGGCCGGTTTTCACCCGGGCTGTCCAGTATTTGGGTTCCCCGTCCGGTAAAAAGAAAGAAAAAATACCAGACGTGAAATATGAAATATTTTCTGTTTCCCTTGGACAGAAGCCCAGCGGGGACAATTTTCCCCTGCCACGTCTGGCGGGGGCGGGGAACTGAGGAGTGTGGGACCATTTAAAGGTGCAGTATCTTTTTTTTTTTTTTTTTTTTTCTCAACAAGATTGGTGTTTCCTTTTTGGCTCAACAACTTTAGTTTCCCCCTTCCCTCCCCCCCAGAATTTTTTTCCTGGTGTTTTTTTTGGGGTATATTTTGATTTAAACCATCTGGCAACCCTATCCTCACATTGTCCCTCCTTCCTGTCAAAAAAAGCAGGATTCAGGGACCTCCTAACTGCCTTCCTCCCACCTCCCTTCCTGTGAAAAACAGCCACTCTAGGAACTCCCACCTTGAAAAGCATTAGCCATGCTGGGCTGCTCCATCCAGTCCTGTTAAACCAACAGCAGGACTTCAGTCGCTCCGCGCTGTTCTTCTTGGGTTCCCTGCTCTCGTCATCTGCCAACCCTAGGTACCCAAGCATGTGATTAGATCCCTGTAAATGTATCTACTGACGTCTGCATCCACATTTGCAGGGGCAGATACCCACAGATATAAAGAGATCAGCAAATTTGCAGGGTTCTAAACACAACATTTGAACCCACAAAAATCAGCCAGGGCTATCCACATTCACATCCGCAGATGCAGATGCCCACGGATATAAAGCAGATATCTGCAGATTTGCTGGGCTCTATGCAAGGTCTTTAAAAATCCATGGGAAAGAAGATGAGGGAAGCCTGCACATAGTCTTAGTTTTCTAATACCGTGCTGAGGGCCGCCTCCTTTAAAAAAAAAATCCTTCCCAGGATGCTAGCACACGAGCCTGCCCTTGTAACCATTAAACACAAATTTCATCCAAACAACGTCCTGCACAGACAGACTACTTCTGCATCGCCCTCCTTTGCCTACCCGCTATACAGTACATGGTCAGTTTCACTGCTGCTGTGTTAAAGGCAATGGGAAATTATACCTCTGCCATCCAGCAAAGAGGAGGCAGAGAAAATCCGTAAGTCAAAGAGCTTGCAAGAAAACATGGTTCAGATCACACGTTCCAGTAGAACAATTTACACAAAGTGTACATTTCAGAATGAGGACTGGGTAACAAGCAGCGTAGGATAGGGATGTTAAATACAGCTGAATCAATTAGTCGACGGATTTCCCATCGACTAGTTTATTAGTCGATAAGCAGGGGAGCCGCAGCAGGGTTAGCTCCCCGTCGGGGCAGCTATCCCTGCTGTGGCTCTGCCTTTTAAATGTAGGCTCTTAATACATTTAAAAAGCAGTCGCAGCATCTGGGATTGGGCGTGAGTCAGGAATCAGCTGATTTCTGGCTTGCACCGGGTTCACACTACTCCCATGCCCCCTGCCGAGACAGTGCTGGGGGAACCGGCTTAAGCCAGCTCCCCCCAGCACCCGCTCCTGCTCCCCCTTGTTGCCTCTGTTGGAGGCAGCAAGGGTGGGGGGAGGGGAAGTGACTAGTCGAGGAACTTTTTTTAGGAGGAGTTTTCGCTTATCGGATAATCAACTAGTTCCTTACATCTAGTGTAGGAAGGGTTAATGTAGTTTCGGAACAAGCAGTCATGAAATTGATTATTTACGAAAACCTAGCAGCAAGCATGACAGGGCTTTATCATGCCCCTGTTACTGTCAGCAGGGCCGGCTTGAGCCATTCCTGCACCCTGAGCAGCGGGTGCACGACACATGCGCGGCTCTGCTTCCAGGCGCACGGCGCCCTTTACAGCTGCCATCAGGCGCCCTGGGCATCTGCCTGGCTAGTCCCCCCCTTAATCCGGCCCTAACCGTCAGAAGGGGTTGTGGGCTCTGCCTATGACCAACGGCAACAGGAGTAGGAGCAGACCCACAAAGAAAGCAACAGGCACTTCACATGAGCGGTTTCTCAATTTCATGCACATAAAAAATGACCCACTCCTTGTCTACACACAAACTTGCAGTGGTTTAGTTAAATGGGTGGAACCTCCTATGTTGCCACTTCAGGAATGACTCAGGCTTGTATACACTCAGAATTTGCATTGGTTAAACATAAATCAATTGAATGGAACTGGTGCTGATTGTGTATGTGGACTCTTACATCAGGTTGAAACTGATTATAGTGGTTTAGTTTGCATCTGTAAATTTGCAAGTGCAAGCAACACTGATTAAAGCAGGTCTAAATCAATGCAAGAGTCCACATGCAAAAACTGCACCAGATTAGTGAAACTGGTTAAAAAAAAAAATCACACAATTTGGTATCTCCATATCATTCTATATGCAAGCCAGGTTATTTTAGGTTGATCATAAATCTTTTTCTAATCGATTTCAGCTAAAGCAAAACAAATCTGGTTTAATCTGAAATAATAGTAATCACACCCATGTAATATTTTCCACCAAATTAACTAAATTGATTTAAAATTCACAATGTAAGTTAAATCAGTGCAACTCTATGTACAAATAAGCCCTCAGAATTTGATATTAGCGTCTAGACATTTAAATGATTAACCGATAAGTCTGAGCTTATAAATTCATCTAAAAAGCTACACACACTCCCCCCCCCCCTTGCTGCATCTGTATCAGAGGCTGTGGGAGGAGAGGAGAAAGAGACAGGAGCTGCCGAAGCCACCTCTCTCCCACCCCCCACACTGCTGCCTCTGTATCAGAAGCAGCAATGCAGGGTGGCAGATGGGAGCCGGTCTGTAAAGGGAGCTGATTTTTAAACTGGCTCCTCTTGTGGATCGGCTCCTGTCTGCGGTCCCGGCTCCTCGCAGGGTGGGGCGGGTGGAGGAAACTTTGCGCACTCCTCCTGCCCCAGGCCAATCAGGACTTCGGGGGTGGGGAGCACGTGACAGCTCCTCCCGCCCTGTGAGGAGTGCATGGCACTTCAAAGCGCTGTGTGGTCCTGCCAGGCCAGGAGGAAGTTTTATGTGCTCCCCCACCCCCAGACCCTAGTCTGGGGGCGGGGGAGTGGCAGTAACAGAGGCCCTTTTGCCCACCTCGATCTAGACCACCAGTTAGATGTCTAACCTGCTCTTAAATATCTCCAGAGATGGAGATTCCACAGCCTCCCTAGGCAACTTATTCCAGTGTTTAACCACATGAGTAAAGGAACCTCAGTCTGATAACACCGGGGGTAAATGTAGACAACATTTAGTGGTGTTAATAGATCAAAAGACAACTACAAGGAGCCAGAAGAGAAAGGAATAATGCCACTGAGTTCCTTGTCACCAATTAATCATTTTAAATCAATCAGACGATGAACACATCAAATGTAGAGTCAATTGCAACTCCTTTCCATGCAACTTTCAAACCAACTGATAGCACTGCATCTCCGCATAGCACACTTATTAAGACACACACTGAATACGAGGCACTCTTCTAAGGAGAGCCCGTGCAAGAGAAGCCAAGCCCTTGGAAAAGACTGCCCACAACAGCAGAGGAAACAAATCTTTGTGCACTGCAATTTGAAGAAATCCAAGGATCACAGCGGTTACTCTTGGGGAACGCGTCACAAGGCTGTTCAAAGTTGCAGAGTCCCCTCTGACATGCATTCAGTCGTCACTGCGGTCGTGTCAAGACTATTTTCTATCAGTCATCATGTTTCCATTCTAGGCTCAAAAAAAAGGAAAGAAAAAAACCCGACCACGCGCAACTTGGATCTGTTACTGTCTAGTAGCCTAAATGATATGACCTTGTGGTCTCCACTCAGTTCCTCATCACAAAGGCCACCCTAATGAGCACTCATAGGCCCGCTGGTTGGCAGGCTTGCCCACGGTATGATCCTCTCATTCAGAGAGGACTCCCAGGTTGGGATTCCCAGGGAGAGCATGTTGGTGAGGCAGCAGGGAGGAAGAGTTTAATGCCCCTTCGTTCACCTCTTCCATCGTGTGCAGTCCACAAGCATTAAAGGAAACATCTAAAAGCTTTTCCAAGGAAAGGCCCAGATTCAGCAAACGCTGGTGCACGTGCTGAGTTTTACTACCATGACACATCCCACTTAGGGATGTTAAATATCGGTTAATTGGATAGTTGATTAACCTCGTGAACTCTTATCGGTTACTCAACTATTCTACGGTCCCTGGGGGCGGGGCCAGCAGCCAGTGCACTCCGGCTCCACTCCCCAGGAGCCCCCCGCCACCAGGCAGCAGCATAGGGTGCCAGGCAGGTGCTGGTCCACAAGGGGAGCCAGTTTAAAAGTCAGTTTAACATGTTCTGTAAGCGCAAGATTGGGGCCTTGGAATTAAACACTTGACGTGCACCTCTGTTATATATTAGCCAGCCAGAAATGAAAGTGAGAACGAAAATGCCTTCATGCCAAGTATAATCATCAAACCTCCGCTTCATTAGAGTTACCCCCTGTATGAAATTAACTCTATTAACTGTGCGAGTGAAATTGACCAAAAAGGCAAAACACAAGGGACTCCATGCCCAAGTAAAGAGGAAATAAGGATTCCTACCTTTAAAATACCCTGCACACCTACTTATTTTGCCCGTGTTGGAAAATCAGGGAATGTACAAAACACGGGCTCCACTCTACCTACTCACAGGCTAGTTCCGCTCTAGGGAAATACAGACCAGCTGCAAATTACTAACCCCTGAAACATGAAAGAATGGTGTCTGAGTCACCTCCCACCGAAGGCTGTTCCTGGAGCGGAGTGCAGCTCTCCTAACACGCCTTGCTCAGGAGTGGGTCTGAACACAGCGTGTTCAAGTGAGGATTATTTTGTCAATTTCACATCCTTATACAAGTTATACATTCTCAAGGCTGGCAGCTCTCAGAGAAACCCCGGGAGGGGTGGGGAGGGGGGGATCCACAGCCACCGGCTCCCACACCCCCAATGAAATATACCAACATACGAGAGAGCCTGAGTTACTGCCAGCACAGAAAGAAACAAAGTTCAGGGTGTGCAGCGTTACCCGCCCTTAAAGCTACCAGGGGAGCAGCTAGATAAGTCCATGCTACATTTACTAACGCTTCATTAAGCCATAAAATGACACTTCGGCCCTGACCATGCAGAGGGCCAGCCCAGCAGTTACAAGGGCCCTTTTGAAGTCAACAGACGCCCTATCCTGTGCAATCCAGAGCAGGATCAGGGCCTTGATCTCTTTTCATGGCTGGGCTGAACGGTACCAAACAGCCTCACCAGAGCAGTCACTTTTCAACTACTAAATTTAAAAGCTTCCTCCACTTCAAAAAGTTTCCCAGGAGAAAAGAAGGGGTCGCCTTGTTAAAATAAGCTTTGAAGGATGGTTTGTGTTATTAGTGGTTTCCTGCCTGATGCTCTTCTGTTTTCTGAAGGGTATTTTCTACACCGGCTCAAACAATTGTGGGTTTCAATTCATCAAGCTCTCCAAAAAGGGGAAGCCGGACAGCGAGTGCTATGTTTGTTCTAAGAGGTGGTAAATCAGCATTTCATGATTATTTTAAAATGCCGCCAGGCAGCTCCCACCTCAGTTTTGCAGCTTCTCTCTCCACTCCCACTTCCCTATGCCACTCGGTGAAGCTTCCTCTCCCAGAATCATTGCACAGACATACCCTCAGTCCTCCGTACCCCATTCCCCTCCCTATAACCCATGGGGGCGAGGAAGCCAGACACTGCAGCACAGTCACTGTCGCTGTCTCCCCCTTCCTTCCCCATCCGGATGGCCTTCGGAGGCCGCTGTAGAGGCAGACTGGAGTGCCAACAAGCA